TTTATACAACTTATTTACTCATTTTTGCAATATATTTTTATTTATGGAAAACTCTATCAAAACTTTGATTTTGATTCATGAAACTTATATTATTTTTAATCTGTGAGTACTCACCAACTATTTTTATAGTTGACGCTTGTTTTACATGCTTTTTCAGGAATCATCGAGTAAGTGGCACTTAGGGACACTTCACTTTTAGGAGCATTCGCATGTGTTGTATTTCAATTTACATTGTAATTTCTTTTATAAGTTGTTCAAACCCATTGTAAAATTGTAATGATTTTTAATACTATGGTTGGTGTAGTCTTTTAACTTTTGCTATGAAACCCTTTATACTGCCACGCCTCGTGTTTCCGCTTTAGCGGGGTGTGACACAATCCTTGCCCTAGAAAACGATATTCCAATCCATCAATTAACAATTCTACCTCCAGCTGCATAACTCCAGCTAAACATAATCATCACTCCCTTCTGGAGTCCCCGCGACTCGCATTCCGGCCTCGAGCAAAACCCCCGAAGCCTCAAATCCAAAAACTCATGTGCTAGCCTCTCTCGCTCAACCCACGGAATGTAACGAGTACGGAACATATCCCGAAATCGATCCCAAGTAACCACAGTGCGCTGCTCATCCGAATATGATCCAGTAACAAGTTCCCACCAGTCCTTCGCCCCGGACCTCAGCAGGTCCAGAGCGTGCCTGACCTTCTAGTCAGTAGGACATGAACATGTGAAGCAACATCCATCTACGTCAGATGGCCACCTCATGGCTATAACCGGGTCCTAAACCCTATCGAAAGTTGGGGCTTCGCGTTATCAAAGTATCGATACTGGAAAGCCCGACTGGCTCCTCCCCCTGCCACTGTTACAGCCGTTGTAGCTGCTGCGACAGCCGTCTCGGCAATGGCTGCATAGCTCTCGTCAAAATACTCAACCATGGCAGTCTTGATAGACCCAAACATCTCTGGAATCTAACCCCGGATAATCCCGACCACCTCATCGCGGATGATCTCCCTGACACGATCCTCTGTCAATGCTGGCCTATCCTGGCTGACAGCTCCCAATCCTAACCCGGATCCGGTCTCAGGACATCTCGTAACCACCATTCTGATAATACACCAGAGAGATCTCGGATAATCCATACAACAAAAGGGAACCAACTCCCAACTAAACCCAGGGGTTGTGACTTCCTTGCTACGCGTATGGGTCCTGTGCTTTCAGTAGTACGGACCCATACTACCTTCCACACCTACCTATATTTGTCTCAAGTATCACCACAACACCCTAACAATATACATAAACATATCGAGCGCTCAATCCTCACTGCTAGAGGAATGCTAAATATCTCATAACTGGCCTCCCGGCCTCTCACAACCCAACCATGAAACTTCCACCAACCCTACAGCATTCGTGTATGCTAGCCATACATAACGCTAGACCTTATAGACTTTCAAATACCTGATCCTATCCTAAGCCCTTAATCAGACGAGAACAAGAAATAAGACCAAACTAAACATTCTCAGGCTATAAGATCTTAATTATGTATAGTCGTGATGCATACACTAAGCAACTACAGTAATGATGTCAATTTCATATAAGGAAAACCCTAGGCTATCAGGCATCATATAATCAGGCAATTCTATCATGCCATTCCTGAAGATCCCTAGCCTAGTACTAGCATGCTGTTCTAACATATCACACAATCAAATAATTTGTAAGGTATTTTGGGGTCTATCCGTGAGCTCCGGCTGATCGTACACTTGCATCATCCTTTATTATTTTGAAAACCATTTTAAAAAATCATTTTAAAATCTTGTCCTCAGTTTGATACCGGAGACACGCGAGTGTTTCCTCCAATTCACTCAAACCAAGGCTCTGATACCAACTTGTAACATCCATAAAATTCGAGCCAATTTAAAACTTTTTAAAACATTTAAAACCATTCAGTTATTACAATTTGTTTTCAAAATAGTTTAAACATCAGAGTTCCCAGAAATCATAATCATAAATCGAGGAAGTGTACGGTCACATCTTCGCCTTCCCGCGGTCATCCGTTGTACCTGAAACAATAATCGATAAATGTAAGCTCGAAGGCTTAGTGAGTTACCCCCAAAATACCCATACACACAACAATACACATACAATAAGAAACATCATACTATTGGTCCAATCATCCATCAGGATGGAATACCCCAAGCCCTCAACCATCGGGTTGGAATGCCAACATACTATGGGTCCAATCAACCATCGGGTTGGAATACCCAGGCCCTACAGATATAACCATATAATATAAACATATAAGCAAACAACATGCATAATGAACCTTCAGACTGACTGGACCGCCTCGCAGGCCTTCAGCCTATCTGGACCGCTCTCCGAGCCTTCGGCACGTCTGGACTGCCTCGCAGGGACTACATCCTATCCGGACAGCTCGTCGGGCCTTCGATCCGATCAACATGCCCTCCTGGGTCAATAGGCTATCCGGACCGCCCTGAGTATCTTGGCCTATAACACGAAGCAGGACCTGCCTCAACCCATTCCCCCAAACCAACAAACATGTGCACATACATATCATACGCTAGCTAGCAAGTACAGATAGTCATACAAATCTAACAGATCACTAATCATGGCAACCATCCTATAAACAGGATATCGATCAAACCGATCACTAATATATCAACCATCCTATAACCAGGATACTGATCTAACCGATCTCTAACATAGCATCATCCTATATATCAGGATACTGACCTAACTAGGTCACAATAGAATATAACCATCCTATCTACCGAGATATCAATCTAGCATATTACAACAATAACCAATCCGAATATCAATCCAAAGGGCCGGCCTTGGTGCCTTAGACCCTTGAGTACAATGAGGATAACTCACCTTGCAATGTTGATCCCAACTGATGAATCGAACTCCCGAATCGCTGTCTCGCCAAAAATCCCGAACTATCTAAAATAACGAATATTAAGTCAATAAATGGGAATACTAATCTTGACCAAGAGTCCCTATGATAATACTCCATTTTGCATTTCCTCTAATTTGGGCCAAAACCCAATACCAAATCCATGATCTACAAGTCCACATATACAAGGCCCATCATTGGCCCAATTTTCCAAATTGGGCCTCATTCAAAGACTCACTACCAAAACTGGCCCAAAATACTCTTATTCAGAGAGCCCATCAAGGCCCAAGTCCAACTAGTCCAAAGGTGGCCTAATCCCGAAGCACAAATTGAAAAAGCCCAACAGGAGGCGTACGTTGGGCGTACTCCTCTGGTACGCAGGGCGTACTCCATCTCGTGTTGACTGAAAAACAGGACCATTGACGTGGTATGGGGGGCGTACGCAAGTCTGAACCAAAACTCTCATAAGTGCTTAATGACATAAGCACTTAATCCCAAACTTCAGATCCATCGGCCAAATGTTCCTAAGACTCATAAAGTCCTGAACTTTAAGACTTTGGACGTCCAGAAAGTTCTTAATATATGGTCTTAACCCATTAAGACCTTCCTACTCCATGCATGGGACACATTCAGTTATTGGGACATCATTTTTATCACCTAGGACCCTTTCTAGGGTCTGGAAGGACAGCTTAATATGACCAAAATGCATCATGCACCATATTGGGGTTTTTGGGACAAGAAAAGTGCCGAGAAGCTAAACAAGACAAGATCTACTCAAAATAGTTGCCAAGCTAGAAGCTTTTTACCTCCTGGAGCTTCTAGAGGACCAGAGAACTTCAGATCGTCAAGCTTGCCTTCTTTCTCCAACTATTTGGTGCAACACCTTCTCCCTCAAGTGCTCAAAACACACACAAACTCACACTCACACACAAGGCTAGGGTTTGGGACGTCTCTAGGGTATGGAGGCTGAAAGTGATGGGAGAAATGAGCCATAAGGATGTTTATATAGCACCTAAACCCTAAATATTAGGGTTTCCTTCTGTCATGAGTACGCCCAAGGTAGACAAGTGTACGCCTAGCGTACTAGGGCACGCCTAGTACGCTCAGCGTACTCTTAAGTACGCGCAGCGTACTCCTCCTGATCCCAAAATTGCAATTTAGTCCTTAGGCTTCTCATGGCTTCACCCGTCTATCCTCAGAGACTATAAATGACAAATCTTGGGATGTTAAAGTCGAAGTCATCGCAGATCGAAATCGTTAGTCGAAGGGATCGTCACATAATGAGAGAAATGGAAGTAGAAGAGGGAAGAAAGAAAGTTGAAGTGTTTGTATGCAATGGCTTTTAGCATCAACGCCAACGTAATAGTGACGACATATAAGCAATTACGGCGACAGATTGGAGAGAACTTATTCGCGATTCTTTTTTTTCAAGCATTAGTGGTGACACATGTTGCCGCTATTAATGTCCCCGATACTGCTATTCAACGACAAGCATTTCCGGTCGTTGGATGTAAGCACCAATCAAGGGTTTGGGTTACGAGATCAGAACTTACACGGATCGCTATCAATTACCTTAATGGCGATGCAAATAACCGTTTTTCTTGTAGTGTTACTGTTGCTCAAGTTATATACATTCTTACAAAAGAGCCTTCTATCCTTCGATTTCAGCAAGACGCTGCTCAATGGTAGTATCATTCAGATTGATAGGGATATTAGTGTAGTACAGAAGAACATTCTACATATTTTCTTTCTATAAAGAATATGTATGGCTCTACAACATTCAAAATGGAAAAAACAATGAAACTACTTTTTTTTCTTTATATCTAAATTTAGTGAAGTTTCACTCTTAAATATGATTTTTTAGGTCTTTTGAATGGAAATAAAATCCAAATAGAACCCGAACTTTAGTGAAAAGAAAATATATACATTTTGTTTTTGAACATAAGAGCAAACGTACTTCTAGTGTTACAACCTCACAAAGCATCAATAACATGTTGCACACTCACAGGTGAACCCTTTACAATAATATGTCATGCTTTAAACATAACACTACAAGAAAACATGCAAAAACACCTTGTAAACACCCACGTCTTCAGTTCCTAGCTTCCCACAACTAATAAATGCAGGGTTTAGGGTTTACAAAATAGGCATTAGTTTAGGCAACGGTATCACCAAATTGTAGGCACATACATGAAAACTAACGAGACGATACCCATTGCTGCGAAGCAGACCAGTTGGAGGGAAGAGTAGTACGACCATGTGAGGTTTTTGCACGGGTTTTCCGCTTCTTATAGTATCTCCATGCCACCTGGATGGTGGTTGCCGCCCGGACCCGCCAGTATGGAGATTCGTACCTGGAGATGGCAAAAAATGTGCAGACCATGTAGTTATAAAAAGCGAAACAGAAACTATGATATGCTATTCTAAATAAATGCACAATTACTATAAAGTACATGTGAAAACTAGCTGTGCATCCCATTTGGAAATGCAAACTACTACAATGTGTCCCAACATGCTTGTCCTTGCATAAGGATGTGGAAATTTATAAGGTTGTCTTTGTGACAAAGGACTCGACAAGCTTTCAAGGGCTATGTGATGAGATTAGGATTGCGTTAATGGCTTTTACAGAGACTAAAGATCAAGGACAAGTCAGTGTCCCACTTTGTTCCACTTTTTGGGTATGAAAAAAAAAATGTAATTTTTGTCCCATTCACATCGGTCTAAGTCCATGTCCCTGCCCAAAGCATGCAAACACATAATAAAAAAGTGCCATTTCTGCAACAAACTTGTTTTTATGACGAAATATAAAGCAGTCACATTTCATTTTGTGATTGAAATAAGAAAGATTTTGCTTGAGCATGTTACACCGGTTGAAACATAGTTGCATGATGCGTGTAGGTTGGACAAATTCGTAAAATGTGGAACATTTGTGGTAAATATAAGTGTTTAACTGGTGCCACAATGAGAATATTGTGTAAGTAAAAGATGCATTACCTTATGGCAAACTGAACACGCTGATTCATTAAGAATACAGAAAAAAGAGTTGTTACTTCCTCAAGATCTGCAGCCCGTAGAACAAATGCCTCCACATTCGTTATGCATTTCACTGTCCTGTCGCTAAGCAATCTGCCTCCTTGTTTTCTGTCGTTTCTTGTATCTGGAAGTAACATTTGATAGTGAAAAGGAATCAAAATCTAAAGGTTCATGTTCTTAAACTAACAAGAAATTGAAATAAATAACAACAAACTTTCACTTCATTCCAAATTTTCCCGCTGGACTTTAGAAAATGTTACTGAAACCAGTCACGTTTTGAAACTTGTTATAGAACCCATTCGTCCATGTTACCATTTTACAGATTTTTTTATTTTTTATCAAAATTACCCAAATTAATCAATTTTAGAAAGTACAATGGTTAATAATGAATTTTATAGTCCAATGACCAAACTATTAATGAATTAATATTATGTTGTTATTATTGCCATTTGTCCATCCCATCTACTTTATACCTCCATTAACTGATGAATGTTCAAGGGACCATCTGAGAAGTTCTTCACCGCATACATCGCCCTCTGACAATGGAACATGATTCTCATCTTCTCCTATGCTCTCCATCTTTCCTCTGACAATAAAAACCATATTCGTCACAACCCCTCCTTGATATAAAGGTGTGCCTCCTTGGACGTATATCTTTTGCCTTAACCTTTCACATATTGCATCTAAAATTGGTTCATCCATCACTGCTAAAATCCTGACCTGTGATTTAAAAAAGTTGTGATTATAATTTGTAACTGCAAGAAACAACATACTTACATTAATTTGTTTATTATACCATTTTACTTTCACTTTCTTTATATTGCATTATAATACTTTAAAAAAACTACCCGATTATAGCATCGTTATCGAAATACAAAACAATTTTCATTGTAATCGGGTAGAATTTTTGAAGTATAATGTCCTAAAATGAAAACAAATATATAATTGAGTAGAAGTTTCAGATAATAAGAAAACAAAATGGAAATACACTTGTAATAGAAAAGAATGAAAGCAGAATGCTATAATACATAAAAAAAATTGAAGGTACGTTGTTATTTCTTGGATTTACCCTTAGTTTTAATGATATGTAATCATATAATAGTCACCAAAAAGGAACATAGAGGGAGGGTTGACTCTCACTTTCTTGACAAAACTAAAGAGGTGCCGGCGTACATCTCTTTGCAAGTCTTCAGGCAAATTCTCCATTAGCATCTCCTCATTAACCCCACGGGTAGCTGCCCAATTATAATGCTCCGACTCTCGAACTTTTCTGCATATCAAATCGTTAAATGGTTTTTCTCTAATGTTTTTTATACAATGTCTTTTTTCCTCTTTTGAGGATGTGGTTTTCCTCCAATTGTTTGAGTTCTCCACGTATATCCTTATGTTCTTATTTTACAATTTTTTTCACTTGGCGGGCTGTTGGGAATCTCTGAGATCATTTTCCCAAAAAAATCTTATGATCACTTGAGGTTACGGCTAGATTTTAATTTTTATGGAAAAGTGGGCAGTGGATTTATGATTAATCACTCTACATAGAGAAAGTAATGAGGCATGAGATATATACCTTCTTAAGTCTTCTGGCAAATGTCGGTGTCCCATCCAATGCTCAATATCACGTCGTCTAAGTGACATTTCCAGCCGTCTAAGATAATATTAAAAGTCCATGGATCATGCACATGGAAGAAGTATTTATATCATAATTCAATGAGTGGTTATAACTACCATAATAACCGCATTAAATGGTTCACCTGCGTCCAAGACCTTGAAGGAAGTTCTGCATGTTCCCAATAAGAAGTGCAAAAAGTAGAAGCCCTAGGCCAATTATACCCATCGTAAAAAGGACTTCCCCAACAAAGTAACTTGGAGATTGATTGCCCGCCAGTGTACTGATTTGCTTCTCACAATCATCAGCAAATAAAGGATTAGGAGGAATTTTGTTATTACCTTTGACATAAATAATTTCATGTACAAGAATGTTCTCAGAATGCATGAGTTTATCATTAATCAAAGCAACACTAATAAAAAACAATTCCTTCCAACCCCGTAAAATATAAGAAATCCTAATTAAACACAAGAAGAAAGAAATAGAACTTAACATCAAAAAGTTTGAGGCTAAATACAAAAATGAGCAACTCACTTTCATTTATTAGTGTATTAATTTATTTCTTTAGATTACATCATTGTTCATTTCATTTTTTTACCTATTAAATTAATCACTAGCTAAATCCCATAACTCTAGCAACAATATATAAAATATCAAATCCCTTATTTTGGCATAACAGCCCTCTCCTTAGTAAAACTAATAACATGCAAACACCACGAACTAATTTATTCAGATTTATTTACATGCCAAAAAGTTTTCGATTTATTTAGATATTTCCATAATAGTTACTTATTAACACAAGGTAATATAAGAAATGGAATGAAATAAAGAAAGGGCCCTCACAAAGAACAAAGGCGAACAAAGTTTATCCAAAAAAATTGAATATATACCTGAAACCCCCAAAAAAAGGAATATACATATCTTCTGATTATGTTATCCTCGGCAATGAGATTGACAGCTTTCTGGTAAATTCCATACGGGAAACCGGCCTGTTCATTAAAACAAGAACTCGAATTTTTATCTTGTTTCCAGTTATTCCATTGTCGATCACGTGCTAAGTATTGAAAATCATCTCCACGCCCGCAATCTATAAACTTCAAACAGTTCGGGAACAATATTGTAGATTGACGACAAGCTTCTCGAAGGCATTCACTCACCCTCTGGAAAGAATTAAAGGAAAAAACAATTAGTACTAGCCTGCAAACTTTAATACACTATGACATGAATAATAGCATATAAATATTTGGAGACGAAATTGTAACTTTGAAGCTGTTTAGAAAATGCGCTTTATCAAAACTTATGGCTATTGTGCAATAGTTTTAGATTAAGTTACAAGTTTCAGCCCTGTCCTTTATCAAAACTCATGGGTATTGTCCAATAGTTTGTCTTTTTGCTTTTTTCATCCCTAATACAATGTTTGGAGACGCTCGTCCCTATAATTTCACGTTGTTTATAAATGGGTGTTACGTCTATGTAAATGAACATTTTGCTCTCATCTTCTTTCTCTCTTCCTTAAAACTCTATAACAGACGACATCAAAGTCCTCCAGATTTATGTTTTATTTTGGAATTTTCTTTTGGTTTCATATTTTGTTTTGTTTTAATTTAGGATTGTTTTGGGGGTTGTGGATGAGCTTCGTTTGACATTAGGGTTTATTAAAGAGAAAAATGAAGGAGATAAAGAAAATAAAAATGGTCATTTTAAAGATTTTCACGGCTAAACAGTTAAGTTTAATGGCCCAGGTACTGAAAGAGTGGCCAAACTATGTTTTATGGACCAAGCAAAAAAGGCAGACTACTGGACTATAGCCATAAACTTTGACAAAGCACAAGGCCGAAATGTGTAAACTTGTTTTTATAGTAAATAACATATTCACCTTGTCTAAGATTAACATTGTGATTAAAATATATAAATTCAATTTTGTTTTTTTTTTGATATAAGAAAATGAATATAAAACATAGATAAAACATGGTCAATAACTCAATATTTCATGATCTCACTCACCTGTAACCCTAACAGATACCAGGATGATCCAACAACATGACCAGCCAAGAAATAGGTTAGAAGATTGATGACAAAGTTGGCCCATGCTGACTCAAATATAAAACCACTTGGAGACTGGCCGGCAAGAAGAGGCAGAAATCGGTATAACCTGGGGATGTACTGACTAAGAACACCGGATCGCAAGAGATTCTTTGCATAAGTAGCTCCGGATGTCGCACTTGGTAAGAAAAGTAATACAATTATCTGCATGCATAGTAAATTAACTTATGACGAATTACAACTAATGATGGTAAAAATAAGATATTATCATTGAAAGAAAATCTCACCTGAGGAACCGGTAATACAATAAATAAGTCAAGGAAGAAAAATCCAGAAAGATAATGTAACGCGATTTTTCTAGGTTGATCAACCAAGTCTCCAGCTCCTACAACCCTTGATTCAGGTGAAACAAATGCTAACCTGAACTGCAAAGACAATATTACTATTACGCTACAATATTCTCCATAATGATTCTTTCATTCAAGCTAGGTAAATATACACCAAAATAATTAGATGGTGGTAGCTATACAAAGTATACAACATGGGCTATATCTAATGGGCTAGACCGGTAGACCGTAGCTTGGCATTTTGTACATGAATGGTGAAGCTATAATCCAAAGTCAATAGTATCGCAAACATATCAAAAATAGATGTGGGCATTCAGATGCGGTTTGTGCGGATTTGACATATATATAGACAAATCTTGTAAACCACAAATGAGAGATCAGGACATCTAGTCTAGTGATCAAAAAGCTTAAAATGCAAAAGCTAATTCAATTAGCTTTTAACAAAAATTAAAATAAAATAAAATAAAAAACTCTTTTAGATTTTAACAAATTGACTTAAATGAATATGCAGGATGTTTTAAAAGAAACTTCATTTGCATTTTTCAGATGAATTTGCAAGTTGTTTTGAAAGAAACTTTAGTGGCTACTTTATGATTAAAGTTTGAGCAACTATTGATGACTAAGATCCAACCATACAAGTTGCATCTAAAGCAACAATTGTTCAATCTCAAGATGATTGAAGGAGTTTCTTTAGCTTAACATATTTCCAAATTAAAAGAGTTGGTCATTAACATAGAGAATATGGATGTTCAATATGAAGATCAAGACTTGGCCTTATTCTTGTTGTCATCGTTGCCTGAATCCTACAACCATATTCATTATACTATCATCTACAGCCATGAAACTCTTGTTTTAGATGAAGTTCTATAGATTTGGATTCAAATGAGAATATGAAGCATATTACTTGTGGTGGTTCAAGTGATGTTAAAGCCGAAGGTTTAAATGCTAGAGGAAGAACAACAGATAAAGGTAAAACCTCTTAATCTTCCAACAAGGCCAAATCTAAGTCTGAAGGCAAAAGAATGTTTTACAATTACTATCAGAAGAAGGAAATTTGATTGTTCAATGCTTCAAGTTGAATAATGAAGAGAAAATAACAACAAATGATAAACAAGCTAGTTCTTATGGTGAAGCCGATGTTGCTGAGGTTGATTGTATTGGAGAACTTCTTACAGTTTATTCAGATGAACTGGATTCTATTGGTGAATGGAGACTCAATTCCGTTTGTACTTTTCATATGTGTCATAATAGAAGTTAGTTTTATACGTTTGAGATGGTTAACCATGGCTATGTTTTTATGGATAACAATTCTATATGTCTAATCGTTGGACATGGTTCAGTCAGAATCTGTATGTTTGATGGAATTATCCGAATAATAGGGGATGTTAAATAGGTTCCTGGCCTTAAAAGAAACTTGTTATATCTTAGGCCCCGTTTGATAGATATCTTTTCATGTCCAAACAAATCTTTCTGGCTGAATGGATCAGAAAGACTGTTTGATTTGCACAAAAAAGGTATTTTCCGATAAGATGTCTTTCCCAAAAAGCCCCAAAACCGTATATTTTTGGTTGAATGGGTCGGAAAGACAGTTGTGCTCTAAGCCTTGCATCTTTCTTTTTTTGATTATTAATTTCTTTAAATTTTATTTTTATTGGATTATTACTTTTTTACTGGATTATTAAATATAGATAAATATTATTTTTCATATATAATATTTATGTCTTAATAAATATTATTTTATTGGAATATTAATTTCTTTTAAATAATTCTTTTTTTTAATTTTTTTTTAATTTTTATTGGATTATATATTAATAAATATTATTTATAATATTTAATATTTATATCTTAATAAATATTACTTTATTGAATTATTAATTTGTTTTAGTTAATTTTTTACTTCATTTTTATTCGATTAATTCTTTTTTTGGACAACACCATCATCCTAATTTATTTAAAAAAATCTCATTCATCCTACCACTATCGAACATAAATTGGGTCAAGAATCACATGTTGGGTTATAAAAAAACTAAAATGACTAGAAAGTATAACGTGACATCCACTTGAAAAACAATAAACTAAAAACAACCTAATCGACATTCTATTTGGATTTTAATTGATTTATGTTTAATTACTCTGTATAACAATTTGTATTTGTATTTTTAAATAATTATTGTGTAATTTTGATTTTGTATGTTTTTATAATTATCCAGCAACTTCATCCATCGCAGTATAAAACTGCAGGGTAATATGGTCATTTTTCATCATTCAGCACAGTCAGTCAAATGTACAATCAAATATCATGGTTTTTTTCTCAGTTAGAAAACTTTCCAAGACAACCCTTTCCCGGACAGTATTTTCCCGGTCATCAACTATCAAACGGGACCTTAGTTCCATTGATAAAAAGGGATATGAGTTTGCTGGTAAAGGTAGAGTTCTCAAGGTATTCAAAGATGATTCTAACAAACTGAGATCCAAACGAAAGACTTCATACCTCTACTTTCTTGAGGGGAAAACAATTTCAAGTGATGTTATTGTTTCTAAGTTACTTTCTGATCCAGATAAGTGTCGTATTTGGCACCTTCGACTCTACCATATGAGTTTCCAAGGCATGTATGAACTGATTCGAAGATGATTACTTTGTAAATAAAAGGTTATTGATTTAGAGTTCTATAAAGATTGTGTATATGGAAAGAGAAAGTGAGTGAGATTTATGAGTGATATTCATACAGCAAAAGGACCACTCGACTATGTCCATTCATATTTGTGGGGACTGACTCGAGTTGCTTCGAAATGTGGAGCTATTTATATGGTCACTATCATTGATGATTTCTCCAGAAAGGCATGGTCTTTCTTCTTGAAACATAAGGGAGATTTTTTCTCACCTTTTGAAATTGGAAAGTACAAGTTGAAAAGCAATCGGGATTGGTGGTAAAGTATCTTCTAATGGATAATGGACTTTAGTTTTGCTTAGAAAAGTTTAATGCCTATTGCTGAAAGGAAGGCATCACTCGACATCACACGATAGTCCATACACCTCAACAAAAGGGTGTAGCCGAAAGGATGAATCACACCATTATGGAGAAGGTCTAGTTTATGCTTTCCAATTCCAAAATCCAAATTTCCAAATTCCATTTAGGGGGAGGTTGCTTCCACTGCTTTCTATGTAATAAACCGATCACCGCCAAGAGCAATTAAGAAGAAAAATCCATTTGAGTTATGGTATGGGATACTTGTCGATTATACAAATTTAAAACCTTTTGGATGTCCAGCTTATGCACGAGTTGAAATGGGAAGTTAGAACTGAGAACAATAAAATGTGTTTTTGGGGTAGAATCCGGGTGTAAAAGGATAGAAGTTATGGTGCTCAAATCTAAAGAAAGTTATTATATAAAAAGATGTTACTTTTGATGATTCCGTTATAATTCAGCCTGTTGCCAACTCTTCTAAAAGTTCAGATGCATCATCCGAAGCAAGTAAAGAGAAAGCTCAAATGGAGGTTTAGATTCCTACTTCACCTTCCACTTTTATTCCAAGTTCAGTAGAAAATCAAGAGTCTTCCTCGTCTGATAAGCCCATTGTTTTTGAAGAGTCAACATCTTCACCACCACAAGCTAATACTCCACGCATTGGAAGAGATAGATCGAGAAGAGATATTGTACCTCCAAAGAGCTATGTTGAAGCTAATCTTGTTGCTTATGCTTTTATTTTGCTGATGATATTTAGTCTAGAATGGAGCCTATGAATTATGATGAGGCTGTTAAGTCTAAAGACTGAAGTGATTGGATGATTGCAATGTGAAGTGAGATGGAGTCCTCGTAAAGAACAGATAATTGAGATTTAGTTCCTATTCCGAAAGGAAAAAGAATAGTTAAATTCAAGTGGGTCTACAAGCTCAAGGAACTTGTCAACCCAGATGAGAAACCAAGTTACAACTCTAGGTTATTAGCTAAAGGCTACAATCAAATTCCTGGTACTGAATAAACTGAAATTTATTCCTCAGTTGTCAAGCATACTAATGTTTGTGTATTGTTGAGATTGGTTGTTCCTAATGACTATGAGTTAGAGCAACTCGATGTTACTAAAACTTTCTTAAATGGTGTTCTTGAGGAAGATATTATTATGCAACAACCTGAAGGTTTTGTAGTTCCTGGTAAGGAGAATTATGTTTATAAATGGAATAAGCCTCTTTATGGCCTCAAAAAGTCTCTTAGACAATGGTATTAGAGGTATTATTCGTTTATGGCTAATCACGAATTCAAGAAGTGTGCCCGTGATAGTTGTGTTTATTACAAAAACTTTGATGATGGTTTGAAGATCTAATTCCTTTTATACGTGGATGACATGTTGATTGTAGCGAAAGATATAATTGAGATTCAGAAATTAAAAGACCAGTTGAAATTTTTTGAAATGCATGACTTACGAGTTGCCAAATATATATTAGGTATGGAAATTGTTCATGATAGGAAGTTTAATGTCTTGTATCTTTCTCAAAAATTACATTGAGAAAGTCCAAAGACACTTCAATATGCATGAAGCAAAACGTATAAACACACCTTTTGCAGCTTAATTGAAGCTATCTCGTATGAGTCCTACTACTAAGACTATATGGATTATATGGCACACGTTACATACTCTACTACTATCATCTTTAATGTATTCTATGATTTGCACGCGCGCTGATTTGGCTTATGTTGTTAGCATGATTAGTATATATATATATATATATATATATATATATATATATATAGCGAACCCAGGGAAAGAACACTGGAAAGCAGTGCAATGGATCTTTCATATTTATGAGGTACATCTTCTATGTGCCTGCATTTTGGTAAGTCTACCATTAGGGTGCTTAGATATGTTGATTCAGATCACGCTAAAGATCGGGATAAATGGAGATCTATTACAGGTTATGTGTTTACTTTGAACGGTTATGCCATTAGTTAGAAAGCTCAGTTACAGTCTACAATTGCTTTGTTATTTACCAAGGCAGAGTATATGTTGATTACAAAAGCAATTAAGGAAGATATCTGGTTGAGGGGTCTATTTATTGAACTCGATGATAGATTTAAAGTTACAATAATATACTGTAATAATAAAAGTGCAATCTTCTTTGAGAAAAGATCAAATGTTTCATGACCAAACTAAGCACATTGATATCCCTTTCCATTTTGTGTGGAATATCATTGAAAAAAGGTGATTTTGTCATGGACAAGATTCATACAGATTATAATCCTGCTAATATGTTCACTAAGACCTTCCTATAGCTAAGTTCAAACTATGTTTGGACTTGATGAGAGTTTCTGATCGAAATTGAGCCTGTATGGTTTGTTGGTGGAGGAAGTATTTTTCTTTTCGGAATCAATTTTTCACTAAATGGTGATTACAAGTTCTTATAGGGTTTTAGAGTTCGATAAGCTATTGGCGTTTTATGTTTTCGGGTGATTGTTGGACAAGTTGAAATTTTGCATGGTCTATTTTGAAGTCAAGATGGAGATTGTGGAGATATGCCTTCCAAAATTGACAAGTTCTGCTTAGTTCAACGGCTATATTGTCTTTCTAGCAATCTAGGTCTAATTTGGTTGCATCAAGTCTAAAAATGACACCAGGTCTAAAATGGGTGTATTAGGTCTTAAAAGGACACCATGTCTAAAATGGGTGTATCGGGTCTAAAATGGACTTGTTCTAGAAATGCAATTGCTTCATTGTTGAAGGTCCATATTTGCCAATTTTGGAAAACCTTTATTCCTTTGTAGCTTAAATGGAATATCATTTTCTAGAAGAGAGATATTAAACAAAAAATCAATTCTTCTGCTTCTTCCCCATTTTGGATCGACATTTCTAGGGTTTCAACCCTTTTTCACCAAATCACCATTATAGTTCATCGTAATCTCTTTGATCGAGCTTTGTAAATACTACAATATTTTAGTGGATTGGTTATTGGCTTACTCCGCCCGTGGTTTTTTCCCGATTTGGGTTTTCCACATAAATTTTTGTGTCTCTCTGATTTACTATTTTGCTTGGTAATTTTCATTGCATTCGATTGATTGTTGTTTGATATATTAGTCCTATTCCGCTTAAATTAATATTGTTCTTGTGATTCGGATTTGTGGGTTGTTTGATGCATTAGGGTTTTTTCCATATTTGTGCATCTTTATCCTCTTTGTTTACTACGTTGATAGAGTTGCCTAACCCTTGTTAGAAGTTATAATTAATGTAACATTTTCATTTGCTATGTACTAGACTACTAGGTTAGGAACAAAAAATAAAAATATATTGGTATTCTTTAGGGAGGACATAGGGTAAATGCCATCCATACCAATAAGCCCCATGGCCAAAATGAAGACTAAGAGGTGATTAAGTCGTTTACCTGAACAAGAATATGCATGAAGTATATAAGGTCCGTCACGCTTCTGAAAACCACGATGGTTTTCGTCATTGGCCAATTAATTATTATGCACTTACAGTCCTGCTCCAAAAAAGTAAAACATGTAGAAGGAAATTAGTCACAGTTTAAACAATAAAAAAAGATTATGTATGTTAAATGTGTGTTTAAGGTAGAAGCAGGAAAAATGGCTTTGAATTGTGTTTCATAGTTAGGTGAAGAAATAGTTTTAAGTTTGACTCAGACAAATCACAAACTGACTTTTACTGGCATAAAAGTTGATTTTTTGTCATTCAAGTACATCCACCTAATAAATATGAACGGTTATTATTCCTAACAGATCAACTTCTCATTGTAGCAAAAAACTGCCTAATAAGGCCACTTCTGTTACCAAGTACAATAGAGAACAAGTGTGACTCGGACTCAAACTCGAACTAGGACTTGGGACCGATGTCAATGGGATAAAAATTACAATTATTTGTCAAACTCAAACTGTGGAAGAAGGTAGGACAAAAACATGCTCTCAATCTCTTGTTTGTGCAAAAAATATGAATCCTTTTATATCAGCAATGTTACCTTCTTGACTGACAGCAGGTAAAAGAATAAGGGGTCTATGAAAATGGCAAATAAGCACGATATGACAATGAACTGGTTCCACTGTTGAACTGCTTTGGCATGTGGATTCATGACCCCGAATGCAAAATTTTTAATTAACAATAATTTGTCTTTTGCCCACAGCTTTGCACCTTCATACCAAACACCATCAAACTGCAAAAAAAAACAAAAAAAAACATAATAACTGCATGTACAAAGTAAGCAATTCAATTTGAAGGACACTATAAGTACATAAGAACAATGTTTTACATTTTTCGAGTAATTCAAAATCGTTACTAAGATCATTCAAGTTTCAAAAACCATTATATGATCATTTAATTTTCAAAACTGTAAAAAACTATCATTCGTTATGAAATCCATTGAATGATGTCAACATTTTACAGGTATGCGATCAACATACATTACCCTGAATAATCAAAATTGAAAAATGTAGTGCTTTTAGTAATGATTTTTAAAATCGAAGGACCAAATTAGGTATGAAGTGAAAGTATGTTGCTACTTATATTGACATTTAATTTCATTTTACATGCTCACAATCAATATGTATCTAAAAAACAAGTTAGATAAGATACAACTGAAGCCTGCATTTGTTACATGGGACAAGATTGGAGTGGACGGGAGGATGGGACCCAGACAAGCTTTCTAAGACCCTATTCATTGATGAGGATATGGAGGGTATTTACGTCTTTTACACAAAGGAGAGATAAAAAAAAAAAAGTCCCTATCCCACCTTGCTCCACCGATCTTGATCCGACAAAAAATTGCAATTTTGTCATCGACATCACTCCTAGTCGACAAACACAGTAAAACTGTTCTGTTCTACGAAACAGGGACTAAAGGTCAAAATCTTCTCAAACCACCATCAAGACTCAAGATTTTAACAGATAAAAATTTAAATTTTTTAGAAAGAAAAGAGCAATACATGGTGGCGAAACCCCTCGGATCTTGACATCGACCGTGCTTTGTAAGCAGCTGGGCATGTTGTACAGTAAGGATCATCACACATCCCCAATTGTCCAGACTTCATTAAGTGCTCACTTTGATGACTATAATTTTTAGTGCGTACTCGTTCCACAGGCTCCCTCTCTTGTCTCTGTATATCACGAGTTTTTCTTTCACTAAGCAAGGGACCTGTAAAGCCAACACGATTTGTTGCACCAGGATTCATTTCAATGGAGCTAGAAGGAATGGATATTGAAACAGCAGTTCTGCTCCTGTGTAAATTTCTTCGATTTATATTGTGATCATAGCTCTCGGATGACCAATTTGTAGTTGTTAACATTGGTGCATCATCTTTTTCAACAGAGTCCATCTATCAAGCACCAAGTGTAATAATGAGAGATATAAATCAGGTACACAGTGACCCACTAGATGAACAAGTGCCCATAAGGAGCCAAATCAATTATGATTAAATTGAGCATACATAAAGTATGTGAGTATGTGTCATAAGGGTTTATAGGGATTTTGTTTTACCCTTTGGTAATAAATTTTATTACAACTAATTACTTAAAATTAATCATTTGATCCTTAAATAAATACATAATCATGGCATACGAAATAACAAATAGAAATATTCTAAATGTGTGGATGAAACCAGGAAATCATATGACTAAGCTAAGCAAACTTAAAGCATGTATTATGAGTTTCTTATTAAAAAAATTGTAATGTATTTTACCTTAAAGGAAGTACCATTTGAACTTACAAAGATATAACTGTTAATTTCGAGTCATAATACTGCTTCTTCACAGCATAATTCAACTTCAACAGTAATTTAAAAAATAAATAAATAAATAAAATAAATAAAATTCTGTAATAGAATCGTTACTTGAAATAGCAATAATCAAATAATCAAATAACCAATTTCAAACAACCCTAAAAAACAGTCTCTGAAATAGAATAGCCTCAACAAGTTAATATCAAAACCAAAACACATTCTCAAACAGCAATAACAGTTGAAATAATAGATTAATATTAAGTGTATGTTATTTGTTTGGTGGTAACACATTCAATTGTACTCCACCACATTTTAGAAGCAATCAGTCGCCACTTTTTTACATTTTTCAAGTAAAAGTGAAGTTACTTCATTATCAAAGTGAAGCGTATTCAGTAATTTCAGTACAAAAAACAAAAATACATGAGAAGCCAGAGGAAATTTAGACAAACCTTATTAAGAAGTGTATTTAAGCTCCAAGAAACGAACAATGAGGAAGCCACAAATAGTTATAAGATTATGTGTTTGAAAAAGAGGATAATAAGGAATATCAAAATGAAAAGGGCGCAAAAGGGTTTTAATTAAGAAGAAATGCATTGATTGAACGTAGACGAAGACCAAGACCCAGTGAGGCAGTGACTAGAAGCAAACGCGACAAAAAGCGGTAGAAAGCAGTGGAACGATTACTCTCCCACATCTTTTCAATCACCATGTACACACACCATATATTTTTTTTTTCTTTGCAGAATGCATGTATACTTTTGATTATAAAGGAACACGGAGGTCACTATCTCCTTCACCTTTTGATTAGATGGTATCTTCTTGCATCCAGAGTCTTTTTAATATGGCCAAATGACAACAAAGTAGATTGGATTACTTTTCGGTTATCTCAACTTTTTTTTTTCCATAAAATTAAATACATCATTATTCTTTAACTTTTATAATGTTGTGATGGGATTAAGGACTTCCATTAACAAAAAAATTAAACACAATCATACGATAATTAAAGTTCCGAAGAAAAAGAAAAAAATAAATTCAAGGAATTAATGTGGTTTATTGATTAGAGAAATCGAGTCACGTCTATGGACCATCTAGACAAAGATTTTATTAAGACTAATTTATGCGAATAATCTTTGTGGTTTGGCCCAATCTACTACTTTTGTCCGGTGCGACCTCAAGGAGGAAATCGATAGCCTTTAAGATAGGTGGCTAGCTCCCTCCCTTGATATTTTGAACCTTACATGTTTTATCCATGACTCTGTGTTAACCGTTAGTTTTCTCTACTAACCATAGTAAAATGACAAGTTTGCCCTTATTTTCACATTATTATTGTTCCTAAACAATTGAACCCAATTAAACTTATCACCCCACTCCTAACCCAACCCATCTACCTAAGACTATCAGCAACCCATTTGAGATACCCTAACGAATCTCCCCTCTCCCTTCCTCTCACGACCTCCCCTCCCCTTTGTTCAAAATACAGCCACCCGAGATGCCCCTACCACCGTCGATCTCTTATCAATTTGTCGTCGTCGACGACGACTTCAATCCGTGTATGCAAACCTACAACCACAAGGACGATTTAATCTTCAACATGTCCACATTATGGACCTTTGGCGAAGCAAAGAAATATTTGACTCTAACGCCATCGCGTCTACAAACCTACAACCACCGTCATCGTCTCCTTCATCTTGGGTGGTGTAGAGGTGGTTGTCGGTGTAGTGAAGAAATTCAAGGACTGCCAACATCTATATGTTCTAGATCTTCATATGATATTGACACAATTGTCGTTCCATTCATCTATGATGGTGTAGAGAGTTGGTTCATCTATGTATGCAAGAAATAACCAAATTGAAGCAACATATAGGTGGTGTAGAGTTGCATCTTTAGTGAGATATTTCCTCTGAGAATTCTTTAGTATGAAACAACAATTATTCCTCGTATTCATCCATTGTTCTCTAATTGTCTACTAGGGTACTATAAGGAATATCAATGTTTGAAAGTAACAATATGTGTTTGTAACATCCCGACTCCCAAGTATATGAATTTATCTTGTAAACGAAAATTTGACTTGGAACTCGTCGAGTTGATGGCCTCAACTCGACGTGTAGGAATCTCTCTACTCGACGAGTTGTTTGGAAAAACTCGACGAGTTGGAGCTGGAATATAAAACCCTAATTTCCAGGGTTTTGCACCCTATTTAAAGGCTCATTAGCCACCCTCTGTCTCTCTTAACGTCCCCCTTGACCTCAGAAAACTCTAATCGTGTATTACTCCTCATTTTATATGTGTAAAAGCTTGGAAGGTGGTTTTAGTGAAAGAAACTTGAAGACTAAAGAGCTTGGATCAAGGAGAAGCTTGTAGATCCAGTACCTACTTCATCTTGGCATTCTTTTGAAGGTAACAAGTCGTTACCTTGATCATTCCCTTGTTAGATCTCCTCATTCAAGAGTTTAGGGTAATTTCTAGCCTAATCTTGTGTCATTTCTGGTTTTGAGCACCTTGAGAAGTGAGGAGTTTAGATTTGGACTCCTCTAGGCCCTAATGGACATAAAGTTCTTGACTTTAACAAGCTTTGGCCCTTCTCCATACCCTAAGCCTCTCCATAAACTTGGTTTTATCATTTAAGGCCTTGCATGCACGTAAAGTTTGCAACTTTACGTGGTAACTATGCCCTAGGAGGATAGATCTACAATTTGGAGGTTTGGGTTGGTTAAAAAACGTTTGAATGAGAAATATTCTGAAGGAACTCGACGAGTTAGATGGCCAACTCGACAAGTTGAGACGGGTTTTCTCGCTTTCTGGATTCTGCATGAACTCGACGAGTGGTTAGGGTTTTCCCCGATATTCTAGACGTTGCATGGACTCGACGAGTTGGATAGCCAACTCGGCGAGTTGACTCGGATTTTAGCGATTTACTGAGTTCTTGAAGAACTCGACGATTCAGTAGCTGCACTCGACGAGTTGGGTCAACATGGACTGTTGACCTTGACCGTTGACTTTGACTTTGACCAAGGGTTGACCTATTTTGACTTCTGGGGGTATTTTGGTAATTTGGGTCTTGATGGAATTGGTCCTATGGTGGTTGTAGGTGTTTAAGTTTGGAGTTGTATTTCGGGAGGTTGATATTACCATCTAGAGCTACTTGTGAGGTGAGTTCTCCTCATTGTATAAACAGGGTCTAAGGCACCAAGGCTGGCCCTTTTCGGATTTGTATCCGGCTTTATTGCATGATATGCTTATTTGATCTGCATCCTGGTAGATAGGATGGTGTTGCGCTTATTGATCTGTTAGATCTGCATCCTGGTAGTTAGGATAGTGTTATGCCTAGTGATTTGTTAGATTTGTATCATAGACACAGGATGATGCTATGATTATTGATCTGTTAGATCTGTTTGACTGTTTGCGCATGCTAGCTAGCTTTTGATATCTATATGTTGATTGTGTGATTGTGGTTGGGTTGAGGCGGTGGGTGGCCCAGATAGGTGAAGGCCCGGTGCAGGAGGTCCAGTCAGGCCGAAGGCCCGAAGAACGGTCCAGACATGCTGAAGGTTTTGAGAGTGGGCCAGATACACTGAAGGCTCGGGGTGAGGGCGGTCCAGTCATACTGTAGACTCTATATGTATACTGTTTGATATAATATTGTTCTGGTTTGTATGGTGTTGGTATTTCGGGGGTAACTCACTAAGCCTTCGAGCTTACATTTATGAGTTTTGTTTCAGGTACTTCTGATGATCGCGGGAAGGCGAAGGCGTGACCGTACACTTCCTCACATGTTATGATTTTGTTTTATGGGATATTTTGATTTGAATTATTTTGGAAACATTTGTAATAATTAATGGCTTTTGAATATCTTAAAAAGTTTTAATTATTTGTGAAATTTTATGGATGTTACAGTGTTCAATTCAAACCTACGATTTTGATGGTTGTATTTAAGTTTTATTTTGGCTCAAAAAGTTGAATATATGTATATGATTCACAATTTATTGTTGCAGATTGTATTCTTGAATTTCTCTTGTTTGGGTTAGTTCTTTATTTATTGTCATCAGTGAAGATGCCGGAGTATATCGAGAATAGGCTAAGACAGTGAAGATGATATAGGAAAGGAGAGGGTGGTGGAGTGTGTGGGATATGGGTCCCATTATGTTTTATTAATAATCTAAATATAAAACTACATCAATTGTCCATGTGGCATATTAAAAGTCACAAACTTAGTCTTTGCTTTTTTTGATGTATATGGTCCATATGGTTTTCAAAACTCGCGTGGTTGGTCTTTTTTCCATACATCGTCACTTTTCATCCGTTAAACTCTATCACGTACCCCATATATGGGGTAATTTGGTATTTTCATCCATTAAACCATATCACTTTCCCCTGAAGAAACCACTTACTCCGTTTCTTTAACTGTTGATTGAACCACCAGAGAACGACGACTTGATTTCAAGTATAAAGAGGCCAAAATGGAACCCAAAGCTTGAATTCACGACACAATATTCTTCCAAATCTTGTTAGACAGATGGAAATCAAAGAGTAATCATCACTTAGATGAATTCGAAAATCAAATGAATTTATTGATGAATAAGAAAAACTTCACATTGCAACTTGGAAATACTTGCGACCGTTAAAAAAATTAACATCTGAACAAGAAAAAGGGATTTAGAAAGGCTTATAAAAAACTTCATTTCATATGAAGAAGCTCACATTGCATTGATGGAGCTCATGAAATGGCGAGATGAAGGGCTTGGTCCGGTTTATGCCCAAGTAGTTCGGTTGAAACAAAGAGACACAATAAATGGTAAAATAAAGATAGCTAACCCACAAAGTAGCAGGCTAGTTTAGGAAACTTATCTTGAAGATTTCAAATCTTTAAGGAAAGTTGCAGTGAGGTTGATATTTCTTCATGAAACTTCATGTGGGTTCAAATCGAATTCATCTTTATGTAAATGGGCTCAATCAAGAAACGGGATAAAAGAAGCTTAGAACTTGATTTTTTTATTGCACATCTTTCAGTTTAAATTTTCTTGACTTCTTGAAGGTTTGTGTATTTGCATCAAGAGAGATAAGAGAGCTACGGGGAAACATTATTAACTAAGGCGTTTTAAACAAAGGAAAGAGACAAACTTGAAAAGAACAAATTACTCCCATATGCGGGGCACATGATAGGGTTTAACGGCTGAAAAGTTAAGTTGTGAGAAAAAAAGATCAACCACAAAAGTTTTAGAAACCACAAGGACCATATCCATCAAAAATAATTAGCAGGGACTATGTTTGTGAATTTTTGTAAACCACAAGGACCATTTATATAATTTTTCCTAATAAAAATATTAGACAAAATTACCTAAATGGTCCATGTGGTTTACCAAAGGTCACAACTTCAGTCCATACTAATTTTTTTTATGAACACGGTCCTTGTATGTTCAAAATCTTGTGTGGTTAGTCCCTATGGTCTCATTTGGTTTCATAATTCTTCTTAAATTACTAATTTACCCATAATATGATTTTTTATTAATTTTTATTTTCTATATATTTAAATTTAAATTAAATAAAAAAACCTATTAAATCTACCCCACCCACCCAAATCTCCTCTCACTCACAAACGTTCCTCTCTCTCTCTCTCTCACACACACACACACACCAAAAACATGATTCTAATTTATTTTATTTTCGTTAAAAATCTTATCTGTCCAATCCAATATCTTGAAGAAAGCCTAAATAATCTTCAAACATTAGCTATTAGACTTTGGGATGAGAAGCTTATGAAGGATATCTTGTTATAATAGGAGTTGTCGGCAACCGGTGAAGAAGAATAAGAATATTAGGTAGTAGACTTTGGGATAAGAAGCATATGGTTTTTGTTGAATGTATAAAGAGTTCAGATGCGGGTACGACAGTAGGGACTCCTCTTAATACCAAATTCTATACTGGAAATGCATCCTACCAATAGAGATGAAATATGGTGTTCTTGGAGTTTGTCATAATGTGTTCTCATTTAGTGATGTCTTGCCTCTACCATCCCCTGATTTTTGTTATGAGTTCAAATCATGTTAGTGTTTTTAGGGATTTCTCGATGTTTATGATTCTAATTTTAGGAAGAATATTGATTTTTAGGTGCTTTAATTTTGGTTCAACTTGCAATGTTGGATTATGTTTTGGTACATTTGGATCTATGTCAACAAGAGGTTTACCAGTTCAATGTCCTAACTTGCGGGGACGGCGTTGCGTTCAATGTTGATTATTCCATGAGAAAACAAAAATTTAAGGTTAGGATTATATTTTTGGTTCACAGTATGAAGTGTTGTGAAATCAATCGAATATGTAAATCATAGTTAATATGAACACAAAGATGTAAATATAACCAGGTTTCAAGCTCAATTAATCTAGAGAAGATACAAGTACATTTGTGAGAGAGTTAAGCTCAGAATTGCAAAGTCCAAATGACTTAAGTACCTACACTATTTATAGTGTACTTGAAAGATAATAAAAAGTATATCAGGACTTTGATATAGAAAGAGAAACAACATAAATGCCTAATAAAATACATATAGAATCGAAGCCATGTAGACCTTCGATATTGACAAACTTTGACTACTATCTAAGACTTCGATATATCACAACACATTTGACTCTACAACACATTTGACTCTACAATCTCCCCTTTTGTGATCAATATTGAATCTTTAAACTGTGGGTAGCGTCTTTATCACATTCAACCAAATTCTTCTTATTTCCATATACCAAACGATAATCT